ACGCAAGTGGAAGAGCTGTTGAAACTTGGTTTGGTGCGACGGTCTGATAGTCCATGGTCGTCTTCGGCTTGGATGATCGGCAAACCTAAAAGCCCAGGTGAATACAGAATGGTGATTGATTATCGAAGACTGAATAAGGTGACGTTAGCGGATAAGACTCGACCACCGAGGATAGATGAGACTCTAGATGAACTAGCAGGGGCCCGTGTGTTCACGGCGTTAGATTTGAGAAGTGGGTTCTACCAAATCCCAGTCGATGCGGCTAGTATACCCAAGACTGCCTTTTGTACACCAGAAGGGAATCATAACTCTCCTTACAAAGGAGGATGCTGTGTTCGTATGGTCCCAGGGATGTCAAGAAGCCTATGAAAAGGTGTTCGAAAGACCTTGTTTGGGCCTACCAGAATGGGGTAGGCAAACAGCAATCTATCGGTAGATTTTGAGGGAGATAACATGGCTACACTGCTATGCTTTGCGGTAGTAAGAGCTGTACACAGTACTCGAATGCTTATAAGTTTTTTCTCGTGAAAAGTCGCAGTGAATTCCGAAGAGTATAACTAAAAGCTGAGAGAATTATCGGTCTGTGTTGAGAGACCGTCGTCAGTAGTTACTAACCTTGTGATGTTGATTTTTTTCTATTCTCAGGAGCTGACGGAAGGCATGGGGTTCTCTCTGATTCGGGCAGAGAAAGCGTTGTATTACTCGGATAACGTTGGGGTGGAGAACGCAATTCAGTGGCTCACTGAGCACGAGAATGATGTGGATGTACTGTGCGGGGGAGAGGGAGGACAGACCTCATATATAACCGCATATATATCATGGGTTAATAGCAGAATAATTGGTATGTTAATCTATAATCCCCGCCCCCCCCCCCTCCCCTCCTTATAGACTCCATTGACCTTCGCTATGAAGGAACATAGTTTCGGGTGGGGCCCTGTGGTTCGTGATAGTGTATGTGGACTTTTTCATTTGAGGTTTGTTGCTGAGGTGAGCGTATCTTCTTGGTGTAGATTGATAAACCATTGCCCGCACCTAAGTCGCAGTTATCGGCGGAGGAGGCGAAGGTGAAGGCGATGGAGCTCCAGAAGAAATTGCGGGAGGACAGGATGGAGAGGTGGTAGTGGGATGCTTATTGCTCTAGTGGTGATGCGTCCTGTGTGAGGAAGTATGCACATGGCAGACTGGGGGTGTAGGCGACAATATTAGAATTATGAGAAAATTTGGGAAATTCTTGTTGGTTTTCTGTACACTTTTACCAGGATTCGTACATGAACCTGTATAAGTAGTGAGGAAACTCTTCTGAGCTGAGCTGGGGAAAGCGAGCATATATTCCCACTCCAACACTGTATAGGAAACTCCTGAGCTTAGCTGAGGAGAGCGAACATATATTCCTACTCCAACACTGAACAAGCTACTCGTGGTTCTGTGAGTGATTGATGATGTTTCAGAGAGAAGAGGGAGGCTCGAGAGAAGGAGAAGGCACGGATCGAGAATACTAAGTTGATGCAGGAGACGCAGGCCCATTTGGCAGAGGAGAAAAGGAAGCGAGGTACACGGGTTACTCTAACATCGTGTGGTATCGGTTCAGTATCGTGTTTGTCATTGTTGTTGTTATTATTGTTAGAGATGGAGGAGTTGCAGAGGGAGCGAGAGGATCATGCGAGGCATCGACAAGAGTTACGTGAGAAGATGATAGAAGATTATCGCAGGCGATTTGGAAGGGACCCGCCGGTGAGATTCTTCGTGGGGTTAGAATTCATCAGAATTTTGGTTTTTGGGCACTACAAGGGAGACGGGTTCACTTGTTATATATAGTTTTTATATGAACTATAGAGAAACTCTGGATGCTGAATAGACCTTTCCTGAGTTCGAAAAGCGATCCCGAGATGGAGTTTTAAATGTAAAATCCAATCATCCTAGGGGCGCCTCTGAAGCTCAGGAGAGGTGTATTGAACACCCCGAGTTATAATTGATTGTAAAATGACTATACTGGGGTTCGAACCTGCGGCCACCAGTTCGCAGAGTAAAAAAAATTAGTAGGGAAATTCGAGGAGTGGTAAGGTTTTATGATCGTTTGAAAATGCTCAGTACCACGAGGTGAAGTTTGTGATGCGTTGAATCTCGTCTGAGCTCTACTTATGGAGAAGCGAGTGGGAAAATTACGAGATCCTTTATCGCGAGAATTTGCTTATTCGTTTGTATTCGTTTGTACTCGTTTGTGGTGCGTTGTTTTTTTCGCCAAATTATTTTTTCCCTTCGATTTGTTGATTTTTTGGCATTTTTTCGCCGGTTTTTTCACGAATTGTTGGCCGATTTCTTGATATTTTTGCTGATTTGGTGGTATTTTTTTGCTTTGATTTAGGCGGACTATTTTGAAAAGACTACGGATGTGAGTCAGATGAAGCCGAAGGAGGCGATAGCTTATCACTTGAGGAACCTCAAAAAGGAAAATAAGGAGAATAACTTGAAGGGATTGATGGTGAGTTGGGGTGCGTCACTGCGCCACAAAATTAGTGGAAACTGAACAGTTATGCATATATAGATTTTCTTCAATTAGAGAGTATGGTTGTAGACTACATAATGCTTCTAGAACGTTGGTGTCAATCGATTCACATTGTTATCAAAGTTGACTTTCGAACTCTGAGAATTTGAAGGCGTTGAACATATTACTTTGCATAACGGTTTGCCCCACACTATATTAGGGAGTTGTTTGACGTGAGATGCGCTTGAGAGCTGCGTTAGGGCAGGGGTTCTCAGTTCTGATGATTCCTGTTGTCATGGGTTGTTGAATTTGGTACTACGCCCTCGAGACGAAAGAAAGGATATCTGATTGTTTGCGATGGTCGCGGGTTCGATTCCCGGCATGGGCTTTTTCATAATGTCGGCATGTATTAGCATGTATATGCTCGGCTCGCTTCGTTCGCTCTGTTGCAATTAGCATCGTCGTGATGATGAACATGGTTTTTTGGTCTTAGACGTGTTTGAAGACCCTACGAGTGTATCTACAGAATGCGCACGACCATCCGACTGAGGAAAAATACCACAAAATCAAGTAAGGCAAAGGTGGCTTATTTTTAGGGCGAGCGAAAATTGTTTTCATAGTGTTGATATCGATCTCGACGGTGTATGTTTTGTATCGTGTCGTGGTCTTTCTGCTGAAGGACACGAGATTAGGTGCGCGAAAATATGTATGTGGGCAGTCGCCCGTGTTGGTTGAATAAAGTACGCTAATAACGTGCTTTATAATTGATAAGTACGTCATCCGACTGTTAAAATATGGTTGGATAAAGTACGGAAACTGCGAGAGAATTTAGGAAAATTCGCGCTTGTTTTTGTACACTTTGTGTGAATTTTGGATGTTTCTGAAATCAGCAACTGGTGGAAGCAAATATATTATTTTTTGTCTTCAGCAAATCGAATAAGGCGTTTGTGGAGAGGGTGTCCTCGTTCGAGGAGGCAATAGAAATTCTGGAGCAATGCGGCTTTACGGATACTGGTGGGTTTAGGGTGTCGGGTTGGAGGGTTTAGGGGTGGTTTTGGGGTACAGATTTCGGGGGGTTGGTGTTGATAGTCGATGTTGGCATACTACTACGACTAAATCGTAGTAGTATGTTGGTATTATATGAAGCGCCAAGGGCGACGCGATACAGGATGAGTCGGTTTGATGGGAGTTTTTGTCGCGGAGGAGTTTATGTGTAGAGGATTGTCGCTGTTGGTTTGACGAGGCGTGGCTATTTGTGGAGATTTATTGTTATGATTTATGGTTCTATACCACTCCATCGGCTCATCGTGTGGTGATAGGAGGATAATCTTGTAGGATGTATCGAGCATCAGGTGCTTCATTGGAGATCACCAACTCAGTGGCTGACACATGGCTGTGCGCCCAAGCGGTGAAGTTCATCGATGTTACTATGCAACAGTTGCAATGAGGATCTCCGGACAGTTTCAGATGAGACGACACGTGTTTAGTTTAGTTATGAAGTGTTTCGTGATCGTTTGGTGGGTTTCAGTTCTTCACAGTGTGTTCGACTGGCTGCTGTTTTCTTAATGAGCCGTAATGGCGGTGGCTATGTTATGAGGGGCGACGGTGGGGGTGGAGGGGGAGGGTCTCGGTATGTGGAGGTTCCGTATAGTCGCAATGACAGGTTGAGAAAAATGGAGGGTGTGGGGAGCGAACCCGAGACCTATCCTGTGAGGAGAGTGAGCGAGGCCGCGAACTATGAGGCTGAGTCTCCTGTGGAATTGTTTGATATTGACGCGCAGTTGGAACGGTCGCTGGAGGAGATACGTGATGTGAAGAATTTGCTGAGAATTTTGTTGTCTAAAGTTGATGACCTCGGTCGCACTACGGCAGAGAATCTGGACAGGGTACGCGAGAAGAGGGAAAAAGAGGATCGAAAACGGCGGGAATTGCTACTACGTGAAGAAGAGCGTCGAGCGGAAGCCGTTGCTGTTGAGGCGGCGCGGGAACGTCGAGATGACTTGTATGTTGATGATGAGTATAAACGAGGGCAAGCTATGGTAAGGAATGCGGTGCATTTGTCGCCAGTTGACAGAGGGGCGGAGTTGAGGAGGGAGGGTGTGAGGAGGGGGAAGGGGACGGTGGGAGGCAGGCCGGGAGGAGTGAGAGTGCCGCCCCCTATGCGGCGATTATAGGTGCCTTGGGACGTACTTCTGCTTATGGTGATCGTTTTGATGATAGTAGTACTGTGTTGTGTAT